TAGTTCTCTAGATAAAGGTGACGGTAAGCAGATTTTGAAAGATGATTTGCTCTGTTCTTCGTGTAAGAAACTGCTCGTCCGACCTGTAGTTCTCAACTGTGGCCATGGTACTGTAATACTGTGTTTGCTTTTGGATGATTTTCTAAATACTGAGATTCCTCGGAATTTCTACTCAGACTTCTTCGGTGTAAAATTGTGCTTAATCCTTTTTTTTTAGTATACTGCGAAGCATGTATCACATATCCAACCAAAGAGAAAGAGAAGATCAGATGTCAAGAATGCCAAGCTTTGGATCTGAGGGGATTTCCGAAAGCCTGTCTGGTCCATATTATTTTTTTCCTCGAGTTCTCGTTGTCTTCCCGTCTGCCAGTAGGGCTTGACTACCCCCTCCCCGCCCCCGAATTTTGGGCACCCGACATGACCTGTGGCCCGGTGCTTAACTCTATATGAGATGAGATCGGGTTATAAAACCGAAAATCGGTTCGAATAATATCTCGTGAAACCTGAGACTATCGGATTTGGGTTCAGGTAGTACGAAAATCTCGGGTACTGACCAGTGACCAGTGGCGTCTGGTGTTTGGGAATAGAAAGCTACGTCAACAAGTGAAATATATGTCGTTTGTGTGCGCAGGTATGTCCAATAGTGGGGGATCGGTATAGATGCAAAGACTGCAAAGAAAAAATGGGCTACGACCTTTGCAGCGATTGCTACAACACTCGGTCCAGGATTATCGGGAGGTTCAATCAACAGCACACACCGGACCACAGACTCAAGCTCGTGGACGGTCCTCGGCTACCTTTCGTGACCAGACTCCTCGAAGACGGTACCCATTCCATCATTTTAGGGGGTTTAAGGGGAAATGGCGAGAGTATCTCGGACCCTGGTTCCGATGGAGACAGTACCGTGAATGAGAACGACGATGAAGAAGAAGAGTCCAGTAACAGGAATTCTTCACGATCAAGCTCTGTCTGGAAATGACAATCCATGTTCGAGGGTGTAAAAGATGTCGGCGAACCTCGTAGCTTTAGGATGCTTAATCATTTTCACTGTACTTTCAGGATTGCGTGACGTCTCTGTCTGCAAAAAACGGAGCAGCGTGCATGTGGGCGCGCGAAAAACGGTACGCATGGGAAAGGGCAAGAGGCGGGGCCCACTGTGGGGGGAGATTCTCCTCAGAGTGCGTAAGAGGCACGAGCGCAGTGATTGGTCGTGAGAGACAGAGACCTGTAGTTGTATTGCACGGAAACCGCCTCTCATGCTTTGATATGTGAGTTTTCGATCATTTGAAATTAAATTAAATAAATATAAATACTAATAATAAATCCGTTTTGATAATATCAATGTTCAAAGCTCTTCACGAGCGTGTAGGTGTATGTATATGTACGGCCTTTTGGCGCTTTAAAAATGGCGGAGATGACGTGAGAGGATATAGTTGCATTTAATTTTTGTATGTCACACGTGTGGCATTTGTACGGTTAAATCAGTTACCCCATGGTTAAAAGTAAAAAAAAAAAAGGAGATAGGAATCCAAGCCGTGAAAAAAGGGTGTGTGGTATAGGTGTTATGCGTAGCTTCGGCAAATTTTATATATGAATATATGTAAGGACATATCTAGAAAAAATTGTACTAATAGATATGCTAATTATAGGACGAGAAAAATGAAAGGTATTGTTATTAATTCAATTTTATTAGGACAAATATAAACTGAATACCACTTTACATTAATTTTATACGAATTGGTTTAAATAAAGAATACTTTTTTTTTTTGTAAATTCGGATGATTTCAGCAAGACCCATCATATGTATTTATATATATAGGAGCACTTCTAGAGAAAATATGATCGAGATACAAAAAATGAAGGACACTAGTTTAGTTTTATTTGAACAAACATAAAATTAATATTAATTGATATTATTGTAAACATTTTAATGGTATATGTTACTAATCTAGATTTATCATGTTTAGTGTGTGTATAATATATATATATAATTAAATAGGAAATGTGCATAATTTCTTTTGACCAAAAAATGTAAAAAGTGATTTGCATAATGTAAGAATCGAATAGTGGATATTAATCAATGGTCGTTGATAAACTATAGTTAGCTAATATCTCTTTGTCAAAATTAACCAATGAAAACATAATTAAGATCATGTTCTTCTTTTCTTCCTTGGGAACGAGATTGATTACTACACTTTTTAAAAAAAAAATGTTAATATCACGGGAATACAACAATATTGGCATGTATGTAAGTTACTTGTTTCTATACGTATTAGTAGTATCTTAAACTTTTTGAAGGGTAATATATCAAATTAAATACAAACTTCAAATATCATGTATAAATAAAAAATATTATGATTTTTTTTTATTGTTGCTCTAAACTTAAGTCATTAATTATCAAAGACAAATATTTTCCGCCTGTAAATTCTGCTCTTTTATAATAATGATCTCAATTTGAATTCAAAACGTTGAAAAGTAAGGGTAAAAAGGAGATGCTTTAAATATGAAGAATGTGAATTCAAGGAAAAAAGCTTTACAGGCTTTCCAACGGTCCAAAAAGAACGAACCATGATTCTAAGTTATGTTTCTACACAAAATTATAATATATATATATATATATATATTATAAGGTTAATATTCTATGTATTTTTTTTATAATCTGAAAATTTATCGTATTTTTATCCTAATTATATATATCGGAGAATTGAAAAAGTTCACGTGAATATCTCCCT